CAGGGGCTGCAGCGTCTCCTGCGCGCGATGGCGGAGGCCGACGGGGGGGCGCGGGCGTGGGGGATGCTCGACTTCCGCGACCTCCCCCTCCCACTCGGGGTGCTCAAACGGCTCGCGAAGTTGAACTTCCACCAAAGCAAAGGGGGGGAGGAGGAGGGGGGGGATCGGATTCGCGCGCTTCCCTCCGGCGCGTCTCTCGCGCTTTCCGGGGTGGATTTGCAACGGGGGGCGGTGTTCCGCAAGGCGGGGTTGCACGCCTGTCTGGGAAGCCTCACGACGCTGGAGCTCGCGCGATGCGCGCTGGGCGATGACGGCGTGATGCATCTCGCCGCGGCCTTGGAAAAAGCAGCAGTGGGATCCCCTTTGCGGATCCGCACACTCCTCCTCCGCGAGAACGACCTCGGGGACACGAAAAATAAAACGGAGGGCGCGTTCTCGTGCCTGTGCAAAGTCCTCCGCGCCAGGGGCGCCCCGGACTTGGCGGTGTTGGATCTTTCACGGAACCGCACCATCCCTTTGCGGCCGATGTGTGCGCTGATCGAGCAGGTCTCCAGCACCCTCCGCGAGCTCGACCTCTCACACGTCTCTATTACGGAGAGCACGCAGGAGCTGGCGACGCTGCTCACCGCGGTGATGCGTCGGCAGCAGCATCGCCGCTCCAGGACTGGTGGGGGGCAGCCGTCGTCGGATGCCTGTTCAGCCTTCGAGTATCTGGATTTGAAGGCGGAGACTACCGCGGAGAAGCGGGCGATGGTTCCGCGCGAGATATGGTCCTGGCTGCACACCCAAACTGCCGTTCGCCTCTTGCAATAGCATCTTCTATACAGAATATGATGGACAGTCATCGAAGTTGCGTTTTCATATTCGAGATCTGTGATACAAGGGGGGTATCCAAGGGAACACTTAATTAGGGATATGTGTGTGGAGGACTTTGCTGAGCGCTTTTGTCTAGCAAAGTGAATTCTTTTTTCTCCCTCATCTTCTCGTTTGGACATACCAGAAGAGCGCAAACAAACTGAACAAATCACACTTACTGTAGTGCTAAAAGAAATAAAAGAACGAGTAATATCCTTTAATCCCCAATAGGAAGGCAATTTTCGAAGGAGGGAGGAAATGTTTGGGCGGCGTGTGTTCGGTAGCTCCCCGATTCCACGGAGCTTGTACGCGAGGCTGCACATCAACACCCCAGCGCAGGCGTCCAGCAGGCTCCCCGTCCTCATTCCTCTGACGTCTTCGCTGATGGCATCCGCCTCGCTAGCGAATGGCGGTGCCACGTCTTTCGGCCTCCGTTGTTCTTACTCTGTCGCTGATTTGGCCACCAGACTGCGCGATCCACTAGTCCTGAGCGCATTGGTGGATACCATTTCGCCCGTGCAGTTTTTCCACCTATGGATTATCGATTTATGGCGTACACGATGTATGCAGATGATGAGTATAATTCAAATTGCGGCTAAAGAAAAGACGGGTTCGGCGAGGTGATTTTGCCGGCGATCGGTGAAATTCTCCTGTCTACCGTTAAGGACTGTTTGTTTTCTATCGTCTTTTCTCTGAAGAACAACAGGCATAAAATGGCAGAAGACGAATTTTGGAATTTTGGGTACGAGAAGAAAATGTGGTGCTCTCTGAATATCGTTCCATCTGCAAGCAACCTAGCAAAAGAAGGGTTCAGATTTATAAAACGTTATTTGAGTAATACCAGTTAAAAGTTTCTTCCCCCATCTGCCATGAAAAGGGTCTAATATTCTCTTTTTTTAAATTTTAAATCTCTGGTTGAATAACCAAGGGGTCTTTGTTGGACTGCATTTTTATTTGCCCTCTTCACATAGTTGTCTTTGCAGCGTCTGATGGAAACCTATGCATAACGAATTATGCTTGATTGCATACTTTTTATTACATATCGTTCTTTTATCTCTAATCCAATATGGGAAGAATCGGAAAGCATGCAAACATATCTCTTGGTAGTCGTTAGTACGTATATAAAACATCTTTCTGGATGCTTTTTTAGCCTTTGTTTTCGATCCTCTTTTTTTTTAGTCTTCCCTCTTTCGTTTGTGTTGATTCACTGCTAATAGTTTTTAAAACGTTTATGTGTGTTCAGTTTTCTCATTTCATCAGGGGGAAACTAGCATTGTCTGTTATTTAGGAAATAGAACCATAAACTCGTGGAATCGTTATATTAGTGGAGATCATATTATTATTGATATTACATTTCCAAGACATAATCATATTTCGAGGTCTTCCTGACGCTATAGGTAGACTAAACTGAAACAAAGACAAGTAAATTCAACATAGTTCGCGGTGCAAGCGTAAGAAGAGATTCATATAATAAAACAAGAATTCGGCGTTTTTAAGGGATAAAGGATACTGAGTCGGCCCTGTATTCTACTGTTTTCTTTGGATCATACGGCTGCCTGCCACTTTATCCAATAAATACATCGATCCGCCGAGGCACATACAATTACATAGACGTTAGCTGTGGCTAAATGCCTAATCCATATCTGAATAACGACAAGGCGGCGCGGTTCGTGGATTATTATGCCTCCGCTGACATGCTTAAGGAGTCCGTTAATCGATTGTATTACGGCGGGATAGCATGGAAAAAGGCCACAGAGGACCAGGCCGAGCAGATGGCCTACCCTCCTGAGCCTGTGGTGTTTCGTACCCAAGCTGAAATCGATGCTTACCTACAGCAGCGTGTGTATCACGAGCAGCTTCGACGTCAACAGCGCCGCACGGCTCTCCAACGTGAGCTATACCCAGAGCCCAGAGTGCATGGGCGTGTTCTTAGCGAGAAGGAGCTCCAGCAACACATCAAACACGTCTACAATGATCCTATACGACGTCAGAAGCTTCGGCAGCGCGAGATTGAGCGTATTTTTGGGACGGAGCGGAAGCTGAATACCGTAGCACGAACCCCCGAAGATGAGAAGGTGCTAAAGGCTTTGGAGGCGAGCTGGAGACCGCCTTCCGCTTCACCATCCCACAGGGATGACAACCGTTGCCTGCTTGTTTCCCAGTATGAATACTATGCCAATCCAACCAAGGTCTCTGAGTTAAATTTACACCAGCGTCGTCTCCCAAAGTCGACGGATCGTGAGCGGCATCTGCAGCGCTTGGCGGATTTGGCGAAGCCGCATTCTATCACACCGAGGCGTAACAATGAAAAAGAGTCAAATAGAGGTCCTGCCTTTCATGTTCATCGTAAAATAGATTACAAAGACTAGGATGTTAATGGATTTAGATTTAACTATGCTGAGGGATTGAGTTCAGAGGTGGCCTTTTGCGCGCGCGTGTGTGTGGTGAAAGTTCTAGTTCATTATACATACACACGTGAATATATTTATATACAACGCTTTGTAAATACTTGAGTAGAATAGAGATTCCAGTGAGAGGTTCATTTTCATTCTCTGGATCATATTTTTGGTTAGATCCATTTGTTTATATAAATATATGACTTCGCTCTATTCCACGGACTCGACAACAAAAATACTTGTTTCTTTAGTCTTCCTTTGCATTCCTACTTGATGAGGAAATTAGCGTGCTATCCGTGGCGTCACAAATGGGTCGCGGCTTCTTTTTCTAATGCTCATATTTTGGAGAGACTATCTTGTCTATACATTTCTTTATTTTCCTTATATCGAATTACCTTTCTTTCTATCCCATCACTCTTATTAATCACTAATTATTACTTGATCTAGAAATTTACGAGCTGCACTGGCTTTTGACTGAGCGGAGTTTTCTGTTTTGATCTCGCCCTTCGCGAACGTCGATTCTCCAACACGCGTCACCCGCCACAAATAGGGGAGTGTTAAGGAAGCTCTATCTGAAGTAAGGTGTATCCCCTTTCTTAAAGGGGTTAATCATATTGTGGTGCCTCAGGGCAGGAAAAGAAGGAGAAAACCTGGTGCGCGGGTCAGAAAACAAGGGAGGATCGAGTCCAGACGCAGATTCCTACACAATGCACCCTCCCAAGGCGGCTATTCGGTGCATGGCTGTCCTCTCGGACGAGGAAAGCCCCTTTCCGCTTTTTATCGGAAGGGATGATGGCGTGGTAGAAAAGTACATCTCTATTCGTGATGCGGATTTAGGCATCCCCTCGCTCACCCTGCTCGGCCACCGCAAGGCGGTTACCGGGATTATCGCCATCTCCGCAGACGAGGTGTTGAGCTGCTCACTAGACGGCACCCTGCGAGAGTGGAATGCGGACCTCGGGATGGATAAAAACGCAACTCGATTGTTACGAAATGTGGACCCCAAAGTTCCCCTGCACTGTATAACTCGTCAGGGGGAACGGATTTACCTCGGGGGCGGCGATGGATCGCTCCACATCGTCGATGGCGAGCGCCGCTCCATGTCGGAGGGGCACTGCGATGTGCTTTCCTGCATTGCCTTTGCCGAGGACGGCAACTTGTTCGTAACGGGCGGGCACGATCACCAAATTCTCATCTGGGATGTCGCTTCCGCGAAGCCGATTCGTCGTCTGCTTGGGCATTCCAATCGCGTGATTGGCGTCTGTGTGGTACCGCACCCCGATCTCGAGGGCGAGGGCGACGAGGACGAGGGCAGGGTTGCCGGGCGAGGGGATCGCGCCGGACCTCGACTGGACGGTGCCATCGTCTCCTTCTCGAAGGATCGCACGATGAAGGTGTGGCTCTTGCCCAACCCCAGCGAGAACTTCAGCGAGGAGGCCGAGGAAACCAGGGAAAAACAGTTATCCTCCGTTCACAACGATTCATCTATGCTGAGCAACGACGCCAATGATAGTGCGAGCAAGGCCCTGACAGAAACTAGTTTCAAAGAGGGAGCCCATGGTGAGGTGGACGGTGCCGGTGCATTGCCTCGTCAGGAGCACTCCAAAGGTTCTCTAGGCTCGGATAATTTGATTTCGGACACCAAAGACAACAGTAAACGTGTTTCTTTCATGAGCCCCGACGACGGATCGGCCGGGGATGCCTTGTTTCCTAAGGTGCATCCCGCTGAGGGGGCGGACGGGGACCCCCATTCGTTCCCCTCCGAGGATGTGGTGAAGATGATCCGCACCTCGTTAACCCCTAAGTCCGCTCTGAAACCGCGGGAGATGGCGCTGATGATGCTCCCTTTGGTGGAGGCCGTCGGGACGATTGAGCTGCCTGAAATCCCCTTTACGCTGTTTCGACCGTCCATCCTCTTCGGTGAGGAGGATGGGCAAAGCCAACCGTGGTCATTGATGGCGCTTGTGGGGGCGGCGAATGGTTACGTGTGGGGGATGAATCTTGCGCGACTCACCCGGAACGTTCTTCTTTTTGTGCGCGATAACAATCGCAAAGTGGCGGCCGCGACTTCCGCCGCCAAACGGACCCTACGGGAGAATATCGTGCTGCTCAAGAAAGGCTGCCGGAAGCGGGTGTTCGCCAAGACTAATTCGATGATCGAGGTCGCGAGAAAGCGAAAGTCGGAGGAGGTGGCGGCCGCCAGGGCTGCCAAGATAGCGCAACGAAAGAAGGATTTTGCGCACGAGAACGCCGAGGAGGATGAGGAGGGATCGATCGTGACCAACGAGGAGGTCGACCTTGATATGGGGTATGAGGAGGATGAGGAGGACGAGGAGGAGGTGGAGAACATCAATGACTCCGACGGTCGTCTGCGGTATCTCACGGCGGAGGAGAAGACCGAGTTGGAGGGGTTTATCAAAGACCAGGAGACGGAGCGGGATGCGCATATCCAATCGCTCCAGTCCGCCGTCTCGAGCCACTTGGATAAGTTGAGCCCGATCGCGCGGACGCCGTACGTCCGTGGCAGGGATCGCTTTTACCGGCTAAGGCATATCGCCGCGGCGAGGGTGGGGTGTGAAACGGTGCTCGCCGTGGTGAGGGGTTTCGAGAACGTTTACGCCGTGCAGGGCGAACGAGTGGTCATTACGCAGGTAACCCCCGGCCTCACCAATCTGTAGGCGAAGGAGGATGGAACGCAATGGGCCCCTATTAACACGATATCGCCGAGATCCACAGGCCCTTCCTGGAGGGGCGAAAAATGGAGACGATATACAAAAAGGAACGAGGAAAGACAAGGGGCGGGGGGGGAGGGGGGGAGACGTCCTTGTGTTGCCCTTTTATTGTTGCTTGGATCTACCGAATACACATGTAAAATTGTCAAGTAAAACACATGAAAAGATGTGAATAGTGTTATTAGACGATTCAATCTTCCTTGTATCAGTGGTAAAAACGATGTCGTGGAGAATGTGCTCCTTATTGAATATTCAGCGGTTGTGTGGCTTGCTGAGACAATTTATCTCCTCCCTCACTCTCTTTAACGAACTTAGGCTAACCGAAAGTCGGCTGTTTTCAGGGAAGCTAGTGCTTGGATTTTTTTGTGAATCCGGAAAAAAAGGTAACACTCCAAGGTATCC